TTCGGACTTTGATTCATCACTGCTACTTGAATGTTTTGATCCTGTTTACCAAAAAAACAACAACACACATTTATATTCATTCATTCATGACTCTTTCTGTGTTACATCATTACACCAGTTGGTGGCAACAATTTCTTTTGAGTATTAGGAATCACTGTTACTCAATCAATTAGTTCAATTCAGATTCATAACAAAACTAATTTTAAAAACAGATTTTAAAAGCAATTAAAGAAGGAAAGGCAAGTTCATTGTTTTCAAACTGACAGTAAATGCTTTAATACAGAGTCTTCTCAGAGTCTTGTAAAAGAAGATATTTTAAAGAATGTTGATAACCAAACAGTTTTGGTTCCCATTGACTTTCATTATATGTAAAAAACGTCCAATGGAAGTCGATGGGAACCAAAACTGTTTGGTTACCAAAATTCTTCCAAATGTTTTCTTGTTTCCATCATTCTTCTTTTATGTTCCGCTGAGGAAAGAAAGTCACAAAGGTTTGGAACGAAATGACGTCAGAATTGTTGGGTGAACTATACTATGCTACTGTGTGTTTACAAAGATTAGACCTATTTAATTTTAATAGGAAATGTCGAGTTATTTTGCCCTTCTGATTCATACTATCAATCATGTTAGTGTAAAATATACCATTAGACAGCTTATTGAAGATACATTCCCATTATGATAAGATCATTTCATTCCCATTTTTTTAAGAATAAAGTAAATAGATGGAATTGACTTCAAGAATTCCAAAATTCTAGAATCAAACAGTTAATAAGCCACTCCTATTTTATAAATATCAATCCCCCTTTATGAGCAATGCTTGCTTACTGTGACATCATACATTAAAGTGCTGTGTCATTTGGTCATCTGCCTGCTTGACCGCTGAAACATGGCATCTAGTACTCAACACACAGATACACACTAACACACACACAAGGCTACATACAGTCACAACAAAGTAGACATAAAACAACATGCAGTTTTTTATTTTTACACACATTTGAATGCAAACACACAAACACTATGCGTACCGTACACATGATTAGCATCAAATTGAATCTTCCTGTGCGTGAACTGCCAGATGAACACCGCCAGCCAGATATGAGGGATCCAGTGGAACAGGAGTAAAGACAGTTGCAGAATAAACTCGCACAACTCTAACAAACAAAAACTAATCTGACATACACATGCAAATACATCCCAAACGCATACGCACACCTGCCAGACACACACACAGCTGTCCAACACTGCCTCCATTCTTTCTAGTAGAGTGAGATGGTGTGGTGGCCATGACAAGGTCTCATCAGTATTATTAGAACTGACCTCACGTTCCTACTCACGTTTTCTCCCTTTCTAAGCACTATCTTCATTTCTTCTGCCTTTTCCAGGAAATCGCTCTCTAACTCTCTGGTATTTTAAATCTGCATTTGTTCACTGGTCTGTTTCTGCTGAGTTTTTCTTAATCAAATTATTGAATAGTATTTTAGTGCTGGCTGAATACTTAGAAATCAGCTGGACTCACAGCAGTAGAGGAAGTCTAATACTGTAATAGGATTGCATGCAACAGAGTTCACATGCAGATTTTATTGGATCAAAGCGGGAGTTAATGCAGGTAATGAACTACTATGTTAGGGTAAAGGTTAGTAAAAAACAGACCACACTTTTGACTAACATGATTAGTAGAGTCTTTTTGTTTGTTTTCCTAGCAAGGCTCAATATTATGGATTTTTTTCTGTATCACTAATACACGTCACTAACACTAACAAGGTACCATGAGAAGATATAAGTGTTATTATTTTATTTTCCAAATATTTAATAAATATTTATTTTGTAATAATTGAATAAATACTACTACATCTAATAAATATTCATATTAGAATAACCATTAATATTGTAATAAATAAGGCTGCTTTATTAATTCATTAATTAATATTTCAATTACTTACTTAATTAATTAATTCATTGATTCATTAAATGTTATCTTTCCCCCTTAAAGATGTAAGAATAATAAATAAATAAATAAAATACATTTAATTAATTAATTAATTAATATTTATTTTATTTTATTTTATTTTTAGGGGGAAAGATAACATTTAACAAAACATATATATTTTTCTGACAAACACAAACATATGCTGCCAAGAATAAAATCACCAGATAATTTTTGAAGGGGCCTCTGAAAATATAGGCAAATCTGAACTAGTGGCTCTGAACTAATAATTACTGAGCCCTGCCTTATACTGTGTAGTGCAAACTTTTATGTAGAAAATAGCAACTTTTGAAACATTTAGTGTACATTTCTAATTTCTAATCAGGTCTTTATTATTAATTTCAGTTGATCTGGAAAAAGGCAAATACTACAGACATGATTATCACAGACTATCACAATAGTAACAGATTATGTTGATTTATTTCTAAATAAATTAATATTCATGAGCTAGGGCTGCATTATGAAATGTCACACATATATTACATACAGAACAACAGAACAAAAATTCTTGTTGTATTCAGTATCTTTCTCTTTTTTCTACGTGTTAGTATTAATTTAACAAGTTGCAATACTATTTCTTACCAGTGGGTGGAAATAGACGCTACTTACTTGCT